CGGGGTGTGGGGGAGCCGTGCCCGTGGGACCGCGGGCGAGGGGCCCTGCTGCCCCTCGGTGGAACGCGGAGCCGGGAGGTGGCCCGGCCGGGATTGCACCACGGGCCGGGAGGTGGGGCAGCGCTGCGGGGACTCTGCGGTGCCCGGGGCTGTGGGGACCGGTGTCCCCAGACCCTGCAGTGCAGCAGGAGGGGGATGCAGGGGGAAAGGGGCAGAGTCAGCAGCAGTGACCCGGCGGGGACTTGCAGGGAAGCCATCAACAGACTGTACGAGGCGGTGCCGGGTGTGAAGGGCATCTGGAAGAAGAAGGTGAGCGTCCACCCAGCCCATCCCTCCCTGAGCTCCATCCTGGGGTGAGCAGGGCAGGGTGCTGAGGGTGCTCTGTTCACTGGGCAGAGCCTGGGTTCTCTTGGGGCATCCCTCTTTGCCTCCTTAACCCCAGGAAAGCTGGCCCTGGGGGGCTGCATTGCCCCAACACTCCTCTCCCCCTCCAGGCTCCCAACAAAGCCCTCTTCTCCATCCTGGGCAAGAGCAATCTCCGCTTCGCGGGAATGAGCATTGCTGTCAACATCTCCGTGGATGGGCTGAACCTCATGATTCCCACCACACGCCAGGTGAAAGCCATCACTGGGGACACAGCCCCACCACCTACCACCTCCAAGCTTTCTGCCCCCCGCCATGAGCTGGGAGGCTGGTGGCCCCCATGTTAACCCCTCCCTCCTTGGGCCATGTCTCCCTCACAGATCATCGCCAACCACCACATGCAATCCATTTCCTTCGCCTCTGGTGGGGACACGGTGAGACCCACATGCCCCAGCCCACCCACCTATGGTCCCTCAGGGGCAGCAGGGTCAGGGACTGCTCATCTCATGGCTGAGCTGAACTCTGGGGCAGCCTGGTCCTAGGGCAGGATGTGGGGCCAGGGCTGAGCCTATCCCCTTGCCCCCAACCCTGCTCCCCACACAGGAGTGGGACATAGGCCCTGATCTCCCCCTGTTCCCCCAGGACACCACGGACTATGTTGCCTATGTTGCCAAGGACCCCATCAACCAGAGAGGTGACACTGGCCCCTAGGCCTGGGAGCTCTGTGGAAGAGGAGGGATGTGCTGGGGTGAAGGCTGGAGGAGGGCATCCATGGTGGGGGGCACGAGGGGTGGTTCAGGGTTATCTCAGAGGGGTGATGGGAGTGCAGGAGAAATGCTCGAGCTGTCAGTCTGTCTGCAGCCTGCCACATCCTGGAGTGCTGCGAGGGGCTGGCACAGAGCGTCATCAGCACAGTGGGACAGGCCTTCGAGCTGCGCTTCAAGCAGTACCTGCACAGCCCCCCCACGGTGGTGGCACCTCCGGACAGGTAGGGGGTCAGTGTGCCCCACTGCAGCCCTGCACCTCTTGCCCTGGGTACAGCCCCTGAGTGGGGGTCACTCGGGCCCCCACCCCTGCTGGGCATGGGGAGGGGACTGAGCCGGGCAGGGTTCCCCCAGCTCACCCATCTCTGCTGCAGGGCCATGAGTGCAGAGGAGTCGGCGTGGGGGGAGGCTGAGGAGGCGGCCGAGCACGATTACTACAACAGCATCCCGGGGAAGGAACCACCCCCAGGGGGACTGATTGACTCCCGGCTCCGGCACGGTGCAGCCCTGGGCCACCTTCACACCCAGCCCTCCAGCTCCGGCCCCCCCAGCCAGGTGAGCCCCCAGGGCTCAGCCCCACTGCGGGGTCCCCAGCAGGCCACCCCAACACTCTCATTTTCTTCTCTCCCCAGGGTGGGTTTGCAGCCAGGCGAGATCAGAGCATCCAGCCAGGGCCACCCCAGGACCAGGAGAGTCAGGGTGGGTACGACTGCTGAGGAGACCCCAGGGACTGTGAGCAGAGGTCCCCGTGGCCCTGCCCTGCCCTGGCTGGCAGTGATGCCCCATCCTTGCAGGCCAGTCCTGTGACGGTTACCTGGAGGCAGACAGCCACCCCCTGGGGCCGCAGGACTACGAGGAGCACATGTACGTGAACACACAGAGCCTGGACATCTGGGAGCCGGAGCTGGAGGCTTGGGGGGGGCTGGAGGAGAGCCCCAAAAAGGACCTCTTTGATATGAGTAAGCCACCGGGCTGGGGGTGTCTGGGGCAGGACCTGCAGAGGGGCCGAGCCGTGCCAGTGGGCTGCCCAGCTGCCCCCCGCAGCCCCGGCAGTGCCTGGTGCTGGCTGAGCCCAGGGCAGGGCTGTGCTGATCACAGGGGGCCACGACTTGGGGCCCCATCGTCACCCACCCTTGCTGGGGGCAGCAGAGCTGTGCTCAGGGCAGGGCTGTGGGTGGGTACCCTGTCTGCCCTGGCCCTCTGGAGGGGGACACCGTGCTGGTGGAGAGGGCATCATCCCCTCCGTGCGCCGGCGCAGCGTCATGCCCGGTGCCCACCCCTGGCTCCCCCAGGGCCATTCGAGGATGCCCTGAAGCTCCATGAGTGCACTGCGGGGGGCGGCACCGGCCCCCCCATCGAGGATCGGTGGCCGAGTCCCCCCCCACGAAAAGCCCCCAGCGGAGGGGCTCCTGCAGATGGACGGAGCCTTCCTGGTGCGGGACAGCCTGACCAACCCCGGGCAGTACGTGCTGACGGGCATGCAGAGCGGGCAGCCCCGGCATCTGCTGCTGGTGGATCCCGAGGGTGTGGTAAGGGGGGGCAAGGGGCTGAGGGGGAAGGGGGAACAGGGGAGATGGTCATGGAAGTGACCAGGCCCTCGGGGCTGCTTGGGTACCCCATGTGGGAGGCAGCTCTCCAGGGCTCAGGACCACTGTGCCTCTGGCCCCCAGGTGAGGACCAAGGATGTGCTGTTTGAGAGCATCAGCCACCTCATCAGCCACCACCAGCAGAACAATCAGCCCATTGTGGCTGCTGAGAGTGAGCTGCACCTCCGCCAGGTTGTCCGGAGGAAGCAGTGATGCTGGGGGTATGTGAACCCCCAGCCCATTCCCCTGGCACCAGACTCACCCCAGCCCCAGGGCAAAGCTGTTCTCTGCCTGTGGGGCTGGGCACAAACACCTATTGGAGGCTGGTGCTGTTGGATGTCCCTGTTTCTCCCACATTTCCAGCTGGATTTTCCCCAGGAGCTGATGCTTTGTGAGGCTCCCAGTGGCCCTGAGGCCCCACAACACTCCCTGGGCCAGGGCCAGGATGAAGCTGCTGTGGGGAAGGTGCAGGTCCGGGGTGAGCTGCTGGCACTGGCTCGTGAGGCCAGGGCTGCTGGGAGGAGGGGTGTCCCACGGCCACAGGGAACCCACCAGCTAGCTCAGGGTTTCAGCAGGTTTTTATGGCACACACGTCCCCTTCTCCAGCATGTCTGGCTCTGGGTGTGGGTTCGTGGTTTGGAATACGTTTCTAATTAAACCTGGAAATGAGCAAGATGCCCAGGTGGTTCATGCTGGTCACTGGTGTGGGGCTGGGATGGGGCTGCTGCTGCTTGCTGCTGCACCCAGGGGCTCGTTGGGGCCAGGGATGCAGAAGGTGCCAGGATGGCAGCTCCATCACCCCCAGCTCCTGGCTGGTCCCATGCTGGTGGTGGTAGCCTGCTCTGTCCTTGCTGATCACTCTTGTCTCTGGTCCCCTAGCTCTTCCTTCTGCACATGGGTGACTTCCCTGTCCTGCCAGCTCCAGAGGGGGCTGCAGCACCCAGGGCTTGGCCCCTGGGCACTGGTCCTGCCGGGCATCTCCCCACCATAAGCCCAGTGTTGCCACCATGCCACCAGCACCGGCCATGGAGTCCACCTGGCACCCTCTGCCCCTCTCTGGGGACAGCCCCTCCCAGGATGGGGCTGCCAGTTGCTGTCTAAGTCAATTAACAGAAGAAGCCCCAAAACAGAGCCCAGTAATGAATGTGTAATTTTCCATTGATAGCCGAATACCTACAGGGATGTGGCATTTCTATCTCAGCTGGGGTTTTTTTTGTGTCATGTAGTAATGGGTCTGCAACGATAGTTGTGCTGTTCCATCAATAGCAGAGGCAGGAAAAGGCAGCGAGAGCTCCGACTTCCGTCTTTTGCTGCAGGAGAAGGAGCCCACGCCTTCCACCAGCTGCTGCTGGCTCTGCCCAGGCCCCTCAGCCTCGGGGTGCTGCCCACACCTTCCCTGAGCCTCCAAACGTGTGGCACAAACTCTGCCCAGCTTAGTTCTCCTGAGAGGGGACAGAGGGATCAGAGGTCTCATTGGCTCTCAGCAAGTTTCACGGAAATAACTGACCAGCTAGAGAAGAGGGGATGTGTGCAGCACTCTGGTGCAGTGGGGGCCCAGCCCGTGCCCTGGGAAGCCCTCAGCCCTTCTCCAGCTTCCAGCAGGTGGTAGCATCCTGCTGGTTTTGTCAGCTGCATCCCCAGCCCTGGCAGCACCCCCCTGCCAGTGTCCCCAGCCCTGCCAGTGTCCCCAGGCGCTGCTTGCCTGTGATGCTATGCCCAGGACTTGCCGGGTGCCACACGCCTCTGGCAGCCTCCAGCCTGGAACGAAAGACCCTCGTCTGTCTTGCCCAGACCTTGCCCTGCTCCCCATCATGCTGCCTGGGGACATGGCTTTGGAGCCCGGAGATCTGTCCCCTCCTGGCATCCCACACTGTCTGGATTCATGGAGAGCTCTGGACAAGGAGCAGGAAAGGCCGTTCTGTGAGGAAAGGCCCCTCTGCTGGCTCCACACTACTGGGTGCCAAGCAAGGGTCCAGAGCCTGTTTTGGAGGCCCTGGACACCTTGTTTTCTGCTGGCCCTGCACGTGTTTGTTCCTACCCGTTCCTGTTTGAGATCCAGCATCTCCCACCGCACACAGTGGCCATGGCAGTGCCACGGGTGAGCGCGGGTCCCTGGCAGCCCCGTGCCAGCAGCACGGCTGGGTGCAGGCCCTGCCCTGA